AATAGAAAGCTTTCTAGTAGTGTATATGAGAGCTTTCTAGTAGTGTATATGAGAGCTTTCTAGTAGTGTATATGAGAGCTTTCTAGTAGTGTATATGAAAGCTTTCTAGTAGTGTATATGAAAGGTAAAGCTTTTCACCAGTTTATATGAACAGTTCTCACTACTTTGTATGAGAGCTTTTGAGTAGGTGAGAGGTAAATGTTTTCACTAGTTTATGTGAGAGCTTTTCACTAGTGTTTATGCACGTTTTTCAGTATATTATATGGAAGAGTGTAATTTAATATGTGTATATGCAAGTTAATTCTGATTTATATCCCTGGGGGCACCTCATAGCTTAGGGTCCTCAGACCTGTCAAGGACCCTACATGAATATGTTATGGTTGACCAAATTTCCCAAGATTTGTTTTAAGATTTGTGATTTTTTTTTTTTTAATATGCTCTTATAATTTTGAAGTTGTTTTGAAAGTTAGTGTTTATTTAACATTTTCACGTTGTAATAGAGAAAATGACAGATTTTTTTAACATATGTTGTTTAGGAGATTGGACTGAGTGGAACCTGGCAAAATGTATGCAAGCTAAAAAAAATTAAGACGAATATAATTTACATTATCAATGTAATTCTTCAATATAATTTTTATGGTACAATTTTTCAGAAATTAAAATGATCACAACATAAAAATGTTAATTAAACAATAACTTTCAAAACAACTTCAAAATAATAACAACATATTTATTACAAAAAGCACAGTTGTATCTATGTACACATGAATAGAAAATAGGTTATGGACTGTGAAAATATATTCCTATTAGGTTCCACTATAACCTTATTAAAGGACAGGTTATTTTTATGCTGGCCCTGAGAACTTATTTTTCATTCCTGTATACGTTAAATGACAATTAAACATGTACTTTTTGTGTGGCTTGATCAAGATTTATTGATGTCTTGTAATTGTTGTAATTTAATCTGACTATAAAATTCTAACTAAACTATTTTAATATCGACACAGATTTTAATACAGGCTACTGGAGGCTACCCAATGCACTTCAGCTGTTCAGGATACAGTGCTAACAACTGGAGGTAATTTAATTCTATAGTGACCTGTAAAACTGTGTGAGGTGGGCTGTGCTTGTACGTCCTGTCACACAAAGGACTGTGGGCAACTGTATAGCTCGTATAGGAAAATCAGATGGTTCCTTTGCTAACTGATCTATCGATAGGAAGCATCCTGCTGTAATGAGCTCAGAACTTAACAGGACCTGTACTGTTATCACTACCTGTTGGATACACTGTGTATGCTAACACAGATTAACAGCAAGCCAAACTCCATTTTCATGAGCCAGGAAGCTGTGCATCTTGCTCCTTTAATACGGTCTTCTAACAATTTTTTACAATTGTGTGGGAAGCTCGATGAAAGCTTTGAGTGAAAAGCCATTGCTTTCAGAGGTGTTGGAAAAGATTGACAACACAGGAGATGAAGTTTGTACTGTCTGTCTGTCAAGTGGCTGCCTATAGGCAGCCACTTGACAGACAGACACTTGATAAATTTTTGATAATTGATAAATTTTTTTAATGCAAACTTGGATGAATGAAGGAGAAGTGTAAGGATACATGTTTGCACAATTTCAAACTTCATTTTTTGTTGTGTCCCCATAGTTACAGATCAAAACTGTGCATTTTTGTAGATAGAAACCAGGTGTTGATTGGCTGCACCTAGAAATTCTGTCCATAAAAGTTATGAACAGTACCAGCGACAGAAGGCAGCTCTACACGAATCCAACATGCACTGGTAGTTAAACATCCATCCGTTCATCCATGTGTTTAAGTTCTTATAATGGAATGCTTCAGCCATTCACTGCGTTTCTGTAAGTTGTTTTTTTTGCAATTCTTTTTCAGAAGGCTGCAGGCCTAATTTGACAAGCAGCATCCACATGCCATTGCAGTGTGTAAGGACATCCAGAACACTATACCAAACAGAAGTTGTCATTGTTAAGTGTAGTGATATGGCATGGCTGGGCTTCCGTAGCCAGGAGCAGGCTTAAGCATATACGCTGTACGTCTTGTTATTGTTAAGTGCACATTGGCTAATAAAGCTGAGTTCGACAAGCTGCAAAAGTGGTCCTGGGGAAGTTTCTTTATGAAATATAGCCGTTCATGACATGGTGTCAGAAGTGGCCGACAGGACGCCTACTGAGTGAGTTATGGCAAAGTTCGGACCGCCAGAACCCTTTGACTTCTCCCGTCCGGAGGACTGGCCAATGTGGTGCCGTCGCTTCGACCGCTTCAGAGTAGCAGCGAAGCTGGACAAGGAGAGCGGGGAAGTACAAGTTAACACGCTCCTGGACGCCCTGTGAAGAGAAGGAGAGGCTATTTATGACTCTTTTGTGTACGATAGGCAAACCGACGAAGAGGCGGCGGCAGACAAAGAACCGGCAGAAACTCATTCCGAGCTGGACTACATGACAGTAATGGCGAAATTCAGCGACCATTTTATGCCTAAACGGAATGTAATTCACGACAGAGCTTGCTTTCATAAGAGAGTGCAGAAAGCCGGGGAACCTGTTGAAGCATTCGTCAGAAGCTTATATGAGCTAGCACAATACTGTGAGTTTGGAAGCACCAAAGAGGAACAAATTCGGGACAGGATTGTGATAGGCATATTGGACCAAGAGGTTCCCCAACAATTACAGTTGGAGGCGCATCTCACACTAGAACAAGCTATTCAGATAGCACGGCAAAGCGAACAAGTTAAACAGCAGAGCGCAAGCTTGCAAGTGGAACATGCTGTGGATGGAATGAGTCAAGGAAGACGGCGTTTTCACACTGAAAAGAGCAACAATGACGCACAATGGAGGAGAAAATCAGAGCCAGGTGAGTCCAAATATCTCCCTTTATGCTTCTGCTGTAATAGACAACATGGGAAAACGCAGCTATGCCCAGCTAAGAACAAAAAGTGCCGGAAATGCAATAAAACTGGACATTTTGAAGTAGTCTGTAAAACAAAAATGTTCAAGGAGGTCTCAGTGGCTTCTAATAACCCAGCTGAGAGGGATGACATGTTTTCTCTTGGAGCAGTAACTAATACTGAACCAGCCATAATTGAGCAGCCAAATTCAGAAAATGAGTGGCTTGTAGAGTTACCTGGAAATGGCTGCTCTGTCAGATTCAAAATCGACACAGGTGCCGACATTACAGTGATGTCTCAGGCTACATTTCACAGACTGCCGAAGAGCTCAAGATTAGTCACAGTAAGTAAAATGCCACTGGTTACTAGCCCTGGAGGTGAAGTCCACTGTGTGGGCAAGTTTCTGGCCACAAGTCCGTTCAAGGGCCAGAAATACCGTTTCTTGGTTACCGGGGTTGACGTTAAGGGTTAACAGGGGACTGTCACATTTCATTTGCCCAGAAACAATTTTTACTTGCCCAGTATAATGTTTGATAAATATAGTCCCTAATATTCATTTTTTTTGTATATATATCAATGAAACATGTTTGTTTTTTAAATGTTTTTTTGTAATTCTTTATTTTTTAAGTTTACAGGTTCCTGATGTGTATATGCATGCGTCAGATAATAAACTCAACGCTACATTACTGTGTTAACATGCATTAAAACCTTCCTGCACATTCTTTTCAACTAAACTTTGCTTTAGACTTTTGTGTGCTTGGAAAAATATAAATTGTAATGTTAAAAATCTAAAAAAAACTTGACTGGTTAAAAACCTAAGATAAATCACAAGACAGAAGTCAATGTCACAAATGAATAACTTTTATTTTAGAGTCACGGTATGTTTATACAAGATAATACTATTAATATAATGTGACTTTTAATGTCCATATAATACAAGCACATGTTGAATTGATCGTAGCAAATGCTCATCCCAAAGACTGTCTAAGATCCGTGAGGCTACTCACGAGTTGCAGCAGATTACAAGATTCATCCGGAATTGATGGCCGCCAAAAAAGGCGATGAATCCATCTCTTCATCATTATTATTCCAAAAGAGCAAATCTCTCTGAAACGGATGAATTAGTGTTATATCAGGACCGGTTGGTCATTCCTGCTGCACAGAGGGCTGAAGTGCTATCAGAGCTATATAAAGGACACCAAAGACTAACATGGTGCTGGTCAAGCGCTAACATGGCTGTGTGGTGGCCAAGCATCAGTGCTGAGATTCAACAGTTAGTGTCATTGTGCAAATTCTGCACTGAAAATAAACCAACCCAGAGGCACGAACCTCTCCTGACTTTGACTCTGCCAGAAGGACCCTGGCAGCGTATTGCTGCTGACCTGTGCGAGTTTGAGAGATGGAATTATCTCATTGTAACTGAATATCTATGGAGTAATAAAGCAGCAATAAGATTATTATTTGGAGGTGTCAAAGCTAACCCAGGACTCTTTAGCAGAGGAGGCCATTATTTTTTACATCCCTAACAGAAAAAAAAACATACCAGGGAGTGACTAAAATGGAAACTGAGAGTAAGTCCGGAAAGTACCATAAAAAGGATGGGAATTATCATAAGTAAAAATATAAAACACATCCTCATACTTCACATTGTTTTGACATATTGATCTTGGCATCAGGGTAGATATACTGAGTTGTTCCTTAAAGACAAGAGGGTCCATAGTTTAAGCTCAAATGAACCAGTGACCTGCTATAAAAGGTGTGTAAACCACAAAAATATTTTCACTCGATAGTTTTAAAGTTCAAAGTAATCTAGATTCAGATCAACCAATTCAATTAAACTAAATTCATTTCAGTTTATTTATACAGTGCAGATTCACAACACAGGTCATCTGAAAGACACTTTACAGAGACAATTCAACAAGATAATACAGCCAAATTGGCTCAACGTTTTCTAAGGAAAACCAGCTGATTAGGGTGATATAAGATGATTATATAACAGAGAGCCATTTGAGGCTTTATATGAGTGAAGGGAAGCTAGAATAGGAGAAATATTATCTCCCCTTTTTCGATATTAGATCTCTGGTTGCAGCATTTTGGATCAATTGGGCTTCCTGGTAGTAAAGAATTACAATACTCCAGCCTTGAAGTAACAAATGCATGGACTATTTTCTCAGCATCATCTCTGGACAGGATATTTCTAATTTTTGCAATATTCCGCAGATAAATGAAGAACATTCTAGAAATATATTTGATGTGGGATTTCAATGACAGGTCCTGATCAAAAATAACACCAACATTATTTACTTTATTATCCGAGATCAATTTTATCCCATCCAAATGAAGCGACTGACTAATCAGCTTATTTTTTCAAAGACTCTGACCCAAAGACTATAACTTGTGTTTTAAGCAGAACATTAAGAGTCATCCAAGTTTTTATGTATTCAAGACATGCCTGTAATCTATGAAATGGATTAGCTTCATCGGGATTTATAGACAAATATAGCTGAGTATCATCAGCATAACAGTGGAAATTAATCCCATGCTGTCGAATTCTACCAATTGTGAGCAGTAAAGAGAACTGGTCCTAGCACTGATCCCGGTGGCACTCCACAGGTAACCCTGGAGAATGAAGATTTATCAGTAACATGAACAAACTGAAATCACTCAGATAAATCAATTTAAGCCAGCCTAATGCTGTCCCTTTAATTCCTTCAAAATATTAAAGTCTTTCTAAAAGAATATTATGATCAAATGCAGCACTGAGATCTAACAGGAGTACAAGTACAGATACAAGTTCATTATCTGAGGTTATAAAAATATAATTTGTGACTTTCACTGGAGCTGTTTCAGAGAATTGTTGAGCTCTAGAACCAGATTGAAACTCTTCAAAAAGTGAATTACAATGTAAGTAATTATAAAAATTACTTACACTGTAAGTAATTCCACACTTTTTTGGGCAACTACTGTACTTTCTCCAGAATGTTAGATAAGAAAAGAGGATTGGATATAGGTCTATAATTGACCAAGTCGTCTGGGTCAAGAGAAAGTTTCTTAAGTAAATGTTTAATTACAGCTACCTTAAAAGTCTGAGGTACATATCCCTGTAACAGCGATATGTTAATTACATCTAAAATCCAGATTGAATCAGAGGGAATACTTCCTTAAATAACATTGTTGGAACTGGATCTAACATGCAAGTGGAAGGCTCTGAAAGTTCAACTAGATCAAAGCAGTCTAAACCCCGGTTGAGATTCTATAGTTACCTCAGATGCTGCTTCACCTTCCAGAGATAAACCAATCATAGTAGGAGGAGTGCTAATGATCTTATTATTAATAAAAATCAATCTTATTTATAAAGAATCACATAAAATAATTACTGCAAAAAGCAGGTGGGATGGATGGTTCAACAGAGCTATGGCTCTGGGAGAGTTTGGCAACTGTGTTAAAAAGATATCTAGGATTATTCGTATTCTCCTCTATTAATGAGAAGAAACATGCTGCTTTTGCTTTACGTAAGGTCAGCTTATACAGCAGTAAACCGTTTTTCCAGACTAGGTAGGATTCACGTTTCTCCCTTTTCAAAGGGGCTCCGTTGTGTAAAGCAGTACTCAGAGAACTAGCAACCCCATTAACAAAATCATCAAATTCTGAAGGGGAATAAAGTAAATGTTGGCCCTCTGCAGCACTGCTCAGTGACACAGAGGAGAGAGAAAGTAAAACAGATTCTTTAAAATTATAACTGTACTATCTGATAATGATCAGCTAAAGTGAAACCTTTTTTTGGGGGGGGGGTCTTTTATAAAGTAATCCTGAAGTTTATCAAAAAGTTGTCAAAGAGGACAAGGTTGTCCTCTTTCAAGGTCCAAAGTATAAAGAGGAGAATGTACAAAGCCCATCGTGTCTAAGATAGCATTAAAGGCTGCAATTAATCTATCACCTTTAAACCTACCATTATCAGCATGGAGGTTAAAATCCCCCACTATGAGGAACCTGTCAGTATTCAACATCAAATCAGATAGAAACTCTGAAAACTCAACTAAAAGTTCAGAGTAAGGACCTATTGGAAAATACAAAGTTACAAAAAGAAGAGGTTCTGTTGATTTACAATTTTGATGAGGGAAACTAAGAGTTAAATGTTAAGAGTTGAAATTATTAACTGACTTTGGAGTAATCAGTAAATCAGAATGAAAGATTGTTGTACTCATCCACCTTGCCAAGAATTTCTTGGTATGGGAAACATTTTTAGAGGGAGTTGCTTCATTTATGCTCACATAAGAGTGGGTAACAGTGGACAAGCTGCAGAGAGGTGTGTTAAACTACAACTCTGGTCTGCACCCTCAGGTTTCAGTGTTTTGGAGGACTAAGAAATTTGGCCAGATTCCTAGAAAGAAGAGCTGCACCATCCAAACTGGGATGGATGCCATCTCTCCAAATCAGACTAGGCTTTCCCCAAAAGGATTGCCAATTTTTATTTAATCCCAAGTTGTTGTTTTTTAGGACAACACCTAGACAACCAGCAGTTCAATGATGACATTCAACCAAAACAGTGACTAAGCTTGTCATCACTGGTTAGATCAGAAAGGTGACCAGAGAAAATTAGGGAGTCAGACCAAAGCAACACTAGGGGGTGTTGCTTTGGAGGTGGAGCTCTCATGGAAAGCTATACTTTCCATGGATCTTTTTTATGCAAACGTTAAAGACGCCTACACCTCCGCCCCCCTCCAGCTACTAGGATGCTTGGATCACATCATGGTCTACCTGCTCCCTCACTACATACCAGAGGTGATAAGGACAATAGTGCAGAAGAGGTCAGTGAAAGTTTGGTCAGATGAGGCCACTGAGAAACTGAGGGATTTTTTCAGAACCACAGACTGAAGCAAGTTCCAAAGCTTTCATGTTGGCGACAGCAACAGCCTAACTAAATGTATCACTGACTACAGGACCTTCTGTGTGGAGAGCACGGTACCCACATGACGGCTATGGAGCTTCCCAAACAAACACCACTGGGTGACTCCTGAGCTGAGAGTCCTCATGAACCACAAAAAAAGGGCTTCACTGATGTTCCTCTTGCTGTTGAGATGATTAAGAGTTAATTATTTTCAGGAGTTATCCTTATTGAATAAAAAGATGACTTATTCAGGATTATGGGAAGTTCTTTTATTAATCAAGCGAACAAAAACCAATGTAATTTAAAAAGTGTTAAAACTTCTTAAAATGCAATTTTACTCAAATGATTTTGAGTAACTTTTTAAGTAAAGTTTTTTTTTCAATACCTATTAAATTAAAATCGCAATATCTTAGAAACAGAATAAAAGTTTACAAGGAATTCAACCAAATAGCAAAGTTTTCATTTCTACCATGAACTGAACTTCCAACTCTGTTAATATTCCAACAGCCTATGCTGCTTTGTGAGCTCATTAGCCACCTTATAAGATTTTCACTTTTCTGTTAATTTGCTTTCAAAGTTTCCCTTCAGAGGTGTTTTCATATTTTATTTTTGATCCCAGGAACTCCTTAAACATAAGTCAAAACTAGATGAAAACACATCAGGTCCTCAAGAAAACAGTGCTTAAAATGTGAAGTTCACCAAAGCTAAATTACAAAGACATTCATTTTACAAGGAAACGCAATTTAAATTCATTGAGCTACTCATACTGAAACAAGCTCTACCTTTGCTCAGTATGTCAAAGATTAACGTACCACTTTTGATGGCTCCTAGGATGAAGCCAACGGATATGTGTGGGCAGGTTGTGATCATCCCATTTAGCCGTCATTTAACCAAACCTTTTTCATTATATTGTCAATGGGCCTACAGGCTTAGTATCTGGTGCGTATAGCTTGGTTTGGTCCTAGTATTTAATACCAAGCGTCTCCAGACTGGTCTTTCCTAACCAAAGCAGGTCAAATTGTCTTTATTTAAAAGGCCCCCAAGTTCCCTGATGACTTTACATTCAAAGGTTTTACTGATGCACATCTTACTTTCTGCCATAATTAAAAGGACCATTGAAAGATTTTTACTTAAATGAGGGAGATAGCAGAACCAAGTTTGCTGGGTACAGACGTTGCTATGTTGCTGTTCAAATCATTTCCCTCACAGTTTTTTAATAGACCTCTAACAGCCATCACATGGCCACCTTAGCTGTACGAGATCCCAAAATCACAGTTCAAATTCCCCTGCCAGTCTAAATCATGTATGGAAATTTTGGTGGCTTCAGGAGAAATTGTAAATTTGCTGTTTCTGGCAGTCAAGGGTCCTCTGATCTGTGAAGGACCCTGCATAAATATGTTTTGGTTGACCAAAATTCCCAAGATTGTGGTAGAAGACATATTTTTTACATATGCTGTTTAGGGGATTGTGCTGGGAACTGGGTTGGTTTCTCCTTGTGGGTTTTTTCTTGTTTGCCTGCTGCTTTCACCTTCCTCCACTAGATGGCGACTGGAGGCTGCATCTGGTGCTCATACAGATCAAACTCCAGGATTTGTTTTTGTGCAAACTTGGATGAATGAAGGAGAAGTGTAAGGGTACATGTTTGCACCATTTCAAACTTTTTTGTTGTGTCCCCAAAGCTTATTTATAGATAAAAACTGTGCATTTTTGTAGATAGAAACCAGGTGTTTAATTGCTGCACCTAGAAATTTTGTCCATAAAAGTTATGAACAGTACCAGCAACAGAAGGCAGCTCTACACGAATCCAACATGCTCTGGTAGTTAAACATCCATCCGTTCATCCATGTGTTTAAGTTCTTATAATGGAATGCTTCAGCCATTCACTGCATTTCTGTAAGTTGTTTTTTTTGTAATTTCTTTCAGAAGGCTGCAGGCCTTGTTTGAGAAGCAGCATCCATGTGCCATTGCAATGTGTAAGAACATCCAGAACACTATACCAAACAGAAGTTGTCATTGGACCAGATTCTTAAAAAAATAAAAAAAATAAATAAAAAAAAAGATCAGTCAGCTTCTTCATTTAGATTACATTAAATTGGCCTCAAATAATATTGTTAAAAAAAAAACAATAAAAAAAAACGTGTGTTGTCTTATATTTATTTTGTACCAGATGAGCAATTTAAACATTCAGGTCTTTGGCTTGACTCTTCACTTTCCAACAACTGTCTTGGCTCACTCCATCCTCCAGACGACAATTTCACTAGTTATTATTAATGTTTAAATGTATTAATCTTAGTTACTCTGAATATTTAAAGCAATTATTTATTCAGTTTTCTCCTACATATCGTCTTAGACATTCAATTAAAAAGTTTTGTTGCGCAACAAGACAATGAAATTGATAAATTGTCTTACAGCACCATTTGAGTGGAATAATCTCCCATCATCTTTCTTCTCCATAACCTCATTTTATGTGTTTAGAATGCCCCGTTTCATAATTTGCAGAGTACATGCAGCTGTTTTAGACTCTTCATTTTTAATAACTATGCTGCTCAATTGTTGGAGTAGATGAGAGCCTTTAGTGTTTCAAAATTGTGTGATTGGTCAACAGTTTGGTTCTATTATAGATTTTGTTTATATGAGTGTTATTGTCATATACATGCTACTGCATCTATCTTGTAAATCTAATATGTTTAATCTCAAGCAGCTTATCATTTGAAATAAAGACAATTATGTTGGAGTTTGAGAGGTTTTTCTTTCACCCTTTTTATTTATCAATGTTGAGGTCACAATATGTTTCAATCAAATGTTCCCCAGACATTTACACACAGGTATGTGAGCACAAAAAAACAAGAAAATAATTGTAGATTAGATGGTACACTTATGGACTGAACATGAACATGATGTAAGAATGAAGATGGGCAACACTATCTAAACTAAACCCAGTGCCAAAAAGAGAAACCCCCATCTTACGACCTAAGGAGAAACCAGTTCCCAACACGTTTGCTTCCACTCTCGTCAGACCAACTTCAACCCCAGTATCGACTGCCAGACCAACTTTTGCTTTTATTGGACCAGCAGAGGCAGAGGCACTTGCGACTTCTGCTGTGGCCATAGCTCTTTTTTTTTTCCTTTCTCTCCTGCCTCTAAGTGAA